CTGTGTTATGTTTTGCAGCTCCAGACTATTTTTCTTTAGTGCAAGAGGGAGCAGAATGGATCTTTTGATAGTAAGGGTTGCCGACCTCTGGTATATACTGTACTTGTGTTTGTCCAGGCACAGATAGGTTACCATATAGTGAAGATGCATTTTCTAGATGAATCTCATAGATTGTATGTGCGATAGGTGTCATTATTAGGCTCTTGTAACCTGGAGGCTGTGAATGACCTATCACACAATGAGTTTTCAGGGCTCATATAGAGACCAAAGTAATGAATAGAACATGGGCTCCAGTGGGTGATGATGCTTCACTGAAGGTTTAGTGAGGTGGAGTGTGATGCAACAATAAAACAAGTACATACATTCCTCTCAGCTACTCTTGAGTGCATACATAACTCTCACAATCACAATGTATGCATGGACAAAAATTTGATTTGGTTTCTGGCCCACGTTGCTTAGCAGCTGTGCATCCAGTGCATTAAACACTGGATACATGATGACAGCCATCGCTTCTGGGACAAAAGTACCCATGTCTCTAGACCTGAAACTAGCAACCACAGCCATCCTAGTGACATCCAGATCTGACACTGTCGTTCAAAAGGGTTGCGCTCATACTGTACCTGCCACAGTTAGCCACCACACTGTTGCAGCTAGAGCAGTGTGCAGCCACCGTTTGCACAGTCTAACACGGTAAAGTATGATCTCTGAAGCATTGTGTGCAGTATATGGACATACACCGCACACCCACACACAAGCTGTTGTCTCTGGCAGATAGATAGCCTTTGTATCCAGGGGTGGTACAACAGTGCACATCTATCCTTGTGTACAAGTGCAGAGTGAATTTTTGGCTCCACAAACACAGAACTAAAGGTTTCTGCTGTATTGTTTTGGATGTGATTAGTTTAGTTATTGCAAGTATTTCAGCTCAACATCTCGCATATTGTTAGGGATGCCTTTATCTCCAGTAAAAATAAAACTTGCTTGTTGAAGTAGCTTTATTTTCTCACCTTGCATCACAGCTTGTACAGCGGTTTTACTATACAGAAAACACTCTTAGTGGGAGTTTTTAACTGTATTTGAAGTCTTGATGGATAGCAGAAAAGCATTTGAAGATGTCTCTTTTATTCAGCAATACTCAAATAATGGTTATCTATTTGCAAGACATGATGGATAGCAGAAAAGCACTTGAAGATATCTGTTGTATCCTGAAGATGTCTGTTGTATCCAGCAGTACTCAAATAACGGTTATCTATTTGCAAGACAGTCAGATATAGTCAAAGGTGGGTATTAGGTAACAAACGTTATAATTGTCAGTAGATGGTGACTCTTGACTGCCACAGGCATTAGTCATGTCAGTGACGTGTCCACCCCCCAGTTGTCGAGTAGACGTATTTTGGAATGTTCAGAGACGACATCTTTTTCTCCTCACTCTTACCTTTTTACCTGTGTGGGCCATGTCTGTGGTCTGCCCCTCTCTCTTCCCCCTTTTCTGCCATTCTGTCTCTCCACGGGTTAAACCCCTGTGCCTTCTCTCAATCGAAGACCGGTTTGGACTGGTTTTCAGGGAAGCACTTTTTGTCTCCCTTGGAATCTTTGGAATAGGCTTATGTGGAGTTATGATGATGATGTCATGTTGGACTACTAGAAAGACCTTGAGTCATCACAAGATTGTGTGTATAGGAATTAATCACCAATTAGGCTAATGTTTTATAAGCATCATACGTTTATAAAGATTATAATAAAATGCTTATTCAAGAGAGTTTGCAAGTGCCTGTTCCATTAGGAGTGCATGGCCTAGATTGGTGTGCTTGGTGCAGGTGTTGCAAAGTGTTGGTGCTTTTTTTTTTTTTTTTTGCTGTGTAATAGGTTTTTCCCAGAAAATGAAGTCGGTATCTCTGTCCTCTACTGTTACTGTATTGAGTGAGATTCAGGCCAACATCTGGAGCACTATCAGTAAGAGAGAAGACGCATACACCTCAGAGTTGTTCCATTCAAACAGCCAGAAATATCTACTAGTTCAGATTAGAGCTGCAGTTAAAGGTCCACTGTACTTCAGGGTGAACCAAACACATTTGGGTCATTTATTTGAATGGTTTTATACTGGTGATTCTGCTGCTACTTCATATGTCGCACAATTAATTACCAGTGCAGAATTTGGTTGCACAGTTTCGGTTAGTCCCTAGCCCAGTGGAATGACAATGATTAAAGCTACCTGAAATGACAAGACCAGGTTTTTCCCCAGGTGTTCAGAGGGCTTAGGTGCTGTCAAGGTCGAGGACGTTGTGGTGGCTGGGGAGTTTGACATTATTCATAGGACATTTTGAATTATTTATTTTCTCTGTTTCTTTTTGACCATTATCCTTACAACAATATATA